TTGGGAGGTGAGAGGAAACTGAGGAAAGGCCCAGGTACCCTCAGGGGAGGAGACCAGGAAAGAATAGGTGATGAGAGGACTCTGAACCGGCTCTGTCTGCTTTTTCATTTGGATTTGGGTCTCTCCCTGCCTCAGTCTGTGTTCGTTCCCCTCTGAATCTCCAGCTTGCTCCCTTTCACCTGTCCCCGTAGGTCAGTCTCAGAAGCTGGCAGCTCTACTGTGTCAGCCTCGGTCTGGGAAGGAAATCAGTTCTCTTGCACTATTGGGTGAGGTAGGCACCCAGTGCTCTCTTGCCCCTTTCTGAAGCAGTTCTGGACGTTCTCTTCTGAGAGTGTCTTTTTGTGCTGTGATTAAAAATAAGGTAACTCCTGCTGAGTGCCATCCAATGAAGAAGCAGGCTTGGGAAACACGAATGGCAGGTCCTCATCCCCCTTATTTACTGGATCTGACACCATGCAACTTTTGGCTCTTCCCTAAATTCAAAATGACCATTAGAGGTAAACGTTTTCAATTAATTCAGACATTGAGACAGCCACATCAGTGTCACACATTATCAGGGAGAATGTGTAGAGCTGTTACGGGAAGTGACAAGAATGATGGGATCAGTGCATTGGAAGCAAGGGAGGTTGTTTTGAGGGGGAATTTATGGCAGTGTTTCTTTTACTGTAATAATTGTTTAAGCAACTTAAACACACACGCACTGTAATTTTGTTTTTTAATCTGTGTTTGGTCAAATTTGAGGATTCGGAGCCTGTGAATACATGACTGCAGAGGGAGGACTGTGTGTAGACCATCTCTTAGTTCATGGTAAAAACATCGTACTTTATTATTGGGGGAGGAATCGGTTAGAAGTTGTATAGTCTTGAAAGATTCCTGTGAGGGTGGATGAGGGAATGGACTGGGGCAGATATGAATGGAGGGAGATGCTGCAGCTGTGGGGGCATTCTGTCGGTGCTCAGAGAAGGTTTCTGGTCATTCCATCTGTTTCTTTCTTTACTACACAGAATCTTTCTTTTCCTGTCAACCTAATGCTCCAGGGGGTCTCAAGGAGGCCCAGGACAGTTGAAAGAGGGGTCAGTCACATATGGGGTGATCAGCTGGGTGGCTCACTTGGGGAGCTGGGCAAAGGCTGAGAGCACAGGCATCCTTTTGACTGGATGGCCAATGGTTTTCTTCCCTGATACCAGGTCCTCCACTGAGAACTCCACCTGTGACTATGTGGCCCCTTACCTCCTAAACCTGCACTGTCCCAGCTTGAGGAGACTGGCAATTTTTGAAACAAAAATATGCTACTTTCGACGTTCTAGGGCCCTAACGCCCAACATAGTAGATGATTCATGAGTCTGTTGTGGGAACTGTGTACTGGCCAGAGGGACGGACTTATGCAAGGTCCAAGCCAGAGGGAGCCTGGTGCATGGACACAGAGGCATGTGACTGGGACCAGAGAGCCAACTGCTCAGGGAGCAGAGTGGCAGAAATACCCAGCAGAAATGGGAACTCCAAGAGGAGGGCAACACCCTCATGCAGGCCAGTTAGCATTAAGGCAGGAATCATGGAGGTGAAAAGTAGATAGGTTTGGCAGATGTTTTAGGGCTAAAAGTCATAGGATTGGCGATAGATTAGCTATGGGATTCAAGGGAAGAGGCTTGCAAGACTGCTCCTAGATTTCTGGTTTGGGAACTGTGTTGGGTGGAGTGTGGGTGGGTGGGCACTGAGAAGAGTCCCACTGGGGGAAGATGATCAGTTTAGTTTCTGGCAGTTGGCTTTGAAGGGCAGTGAGACAAGCAGGCTGACACAAGATGATTTGAGGGTCATCAGCAACAGGTAGTGGAGAAGAGTGTCCAGTCAGTGTTACAGTGTGGTGAATGGCTCTGGGCCCAAGCCTGGGGAAAGCCCATCCAATTGAGGCAGAGATGGGAAGTCACACTGTTTGCCCTCACAACTATGATGTCCAGGGATCTTTTGCTCACAGCAGTGTGTGCCAGGAGCCAAGAGAATGGTGAGCAAAGGAGAGGGTACATTCTGTAGGCTGTGAGTGTGGCCTTGGTTTCTCCTTGCCCCCAGTTCACCTCTCCTAAGCTCCTTAGGGAGTTCACTAGAGTACATTGCATGCTCTGCCCTTCCTGAGGATTGGGTATCACTCACTCCCACAGCTTCTCCCTCACAGCACATGCCATCTCTCTGGTATCACTGTTACCTGGTGTGCCTTTCTGAAGCAGGAATGGCTGAGCCGTATGCTGTACTTTAACCCCTAGGCAGCAAAGAGATTGGCCCATAGCAGAGGGAGCAACCAGGATGGCCAGACTCAAGTCCTTGGGGCCCTGTTAGGGGATGGTGGCTTCTGCACAGAGGTTTCACCATTGCTTTGGGCTGTCTCTGATTCTGTACTGCTCTTATTGTGGCTGTGGATCTGAAAGCAGCTGGGCAGAAAGGCCAATGTTAGAGTAGCTACCATCTTTATCACCTGCCCATTATGAGTCTGGGTGGTCTTGGACTTTTCAGACTGGAAGTTTTGAGGCTTTCCATGGGGATAGAGTACTTCTATTCCAAGTTCTGCACCAGACCACTTTGGGGGCAGCTTTGCAGGAAGGCACAAAGGAACAGAAATGAAGTAAGGTGGGACCCAGGGAGGAGGCATCTCACTTAGCGTCCTGACCTGGAAGATCTCAGTCACCCCTGTATCTTCCTGGGTAAAGAGGGTAGTTCTCTTTTTCCTGTCCTTGTCAGAAAATACCCACTGTTTATAGCCCAGATGCAGGCTCAGTTCCCCCTCCTTAGTCTCCCCAGTCTCCCACTATATACATTAGAGCCCACACAATGGAAATGAGCAATGGAAGCTTTCCCTACTGGTCACTGTCATGTTTCTTGCATTCATCTCTAGCTTCATAAGGAGCTGATTTTTCTCTAGAGCAGGGACCAATTGTCCTAGGCTCTCTGGAAGTGGCCATCAGCAATGAGTGTGAAGTGGGTTGCACCCACGGGTTGGTAGTTGATCCAAAGTTATTTCAAGAGACCCAGAAGAGCTGCCTTTTCCCATTCATCCATTCTGCAAAGCTTAAGGGATAAACTGGATGTACAAGGCAGTATGTCTACTTACAGGGAACTCAAGATGAAAATATGGAGAAGCAGGGCGTGTTGATGCACCCTATAATCCAGTACTCTGGGACGATGAGGCGGGAAGATTGAGCCCACTCTGAGCAATGTCTGAGCATAAAGCAGGCTGGGGATGTTCAGTAACTCAGTGTAAAGGCCCTGGATTAAATGGCCAGTACCGCACACCACACAAAAGAAGAAAATTATAATTACCCTGATCACCACTTTTGGTGCACACCCAGGGGCTGACCTCTGCTCCAGGTGCTTTGCATGCATTCTTTTGTTCTCATTTTCACTTTCATTCTGAGAGTGTGGGACGCTTCTCATTTTACAGCTGAAGAAAGAGGCTTAAAGTGGTCACTGTGCTAGCAGGTGACCGGGCTGAGGGTTAAGCCCAGGTGCTGTGGCTGAGCTGCTTCGCTGGTTCTTCAGAGGTGAGGCCAGCTGGAGGCCACGGTAGCTTATAGCTCCTGTCTGGGGTTCAGTGGCCTCCTCTGTGCACAGAGGGGTGGAGTCTCTCGTCTCCTGTCCCTTCCAGTTCTAATATTCGGAGTCTCCACCACTGACAAGGTTTCTTCCCCTCTAGGGGCAGCACCAGAGGTTTTACTTAGCACTTGGTGCAGGCAGCAGTTGCAGGAGGACCCCTCAGGCCCTGGGCAGTAGCATCTTGTGGCCACCTCCTGTGGGCCTGCCACTGGTCTTTCCTTACTTTCTGTTTGGAGATGTGCAGGTGCCCACGTGCCTACTGGCTTGACTGCCCCTAGAGAGACCCTAAAGCCCTAGCCTTTGTCACGATTTTTTTTTTTTTTTTTGGACTAGGAATTGAAATCAAGACCTTGCGCTTTTCAGGGAGGTGCTGTGCCACTGAGTTATATCCCTGGAAACCTTGGTCATGAATTTGAGACATCTCTCTGCATTTCTCAGTACTTTCATCCTTTTTCTTGTCCCAGACAGTGGCCAACCTGGGCAGCTCCAGCCCTCAGGAAGAAAGCTAGGCCAGACCAGCAGTGGCTCAGGGATAGAACACTTGCCTAGCATGCTGCAGACCACCTATCCCCAGCAGAGAGTGATCATGGCATTTGTGTTTGAAAGGAGGTTCTAAGGGTAACTCTAGATTCCCATCTCTGTGTGTGTATGTGTGTGTGTGTGTGTGTGTGTGTGTGTGTGTGTGTGTGTGAGGGTTTCTGCTTCCTTTTACTCTCCTGCAGCCAATATGAACTTGACAACTAAGGCTGTAGGGAAATAGGAGCCATTATTTTAGCACCATAGGCATAGCCCCCTTACCATCTCAGTTTCTCTGTATTCCCTTCATCTGAAGTTGTCTTGCATCCCTGTACTTTCCTCTCACAGATATCCCCCTGCTTCCTGGATCTCCACGGCGGCTGAGCCCTAGGACAGTACCCAGGAGGGTCCAGGACGCTGGACATGGACAGCAATACCTCAAGGTACAGGGTCCCTGGGCCCCAGCTCTGTGGGGCAGCTCCAGTAGAGACTCTGGCCAGGCTCTGTGTGGACAGAGTCCCCAGAACAGCTCTGTGAGTACTGGGGGATGGATCAGTCATGATATAGCCCTTAGGATGCCTCTCAGCTGGCAACCCTTAAGCTGAGATGTGAGTGTGTGTGTGTGTGTGTGTGTGTGTGTGTGTGTGTGTGTGCATGTTGCATGTTGCACATGTGAGAAGGCTGATTTTTGTTAGGATTCTTTTTTCTGTTATCTGAGTGAGGCTCAGTTTCCCAGCAGCACAGGTCTTGGCTAGAAAGGGTCTAGAAAGGAGCCAGTGTGAGCTTCAGGTGATCCTACCTGTTGGTTGCAGAGTCCCTGCTCTCCCATTCCCTAAGAGCCCTGTCGCCTCACTGTGGCAGCCCTGAGTCTCTCCTCTGTGCCTGGCACTTCATCTGGTTGCCCAGGTGACCTCTCAGGTGGCTGCAGAGGCAGCTGGGTATCAAACCAGTAATAAACAGGGAAACACCCAAAGGGAGGGAGCAGGTCCTTGCCCTGCTCCGCCTGTTCTCTCCTCCTCTTCTTCCCACCTCCTCAGTGTGGAGTGGAGGAGAGCAGGAGCCAGTTCCCCGGCTGCAGCATTAGCAGGGGCCTCACCAGTGGCAGAGAGAGAGGAAGGGGAGGAGGATGTGGGCTGTGGGGGGCACAGTGCTGAGTGAATTTCTGTAGGAGGGCCAGTCGACCAGAAAGTGGCCTTTGTTCCAATGGATCTGGAGAACCTGCCCGTGAGTATTCTGTGTGTAAATAGAGAGTGTGTTCAGGCTGCCGTGCAGATCTGCAAGGAGGTGAGCATGTGTGGGTGGGTCACAGAACACGTGGAGGTTTGTACGTGTCTCTGTGCACTCAGGCAGATGGGCGTGTGTGCACACTCTGTCACCTGTGTACAGTAGTGTTGGTGCAGGGAGACGTGAGTGTGTACGCATTTGCAGGAGCTTGTGTGTGCATGTGCAGGGGTGGGTGTGTGACCCTTCGTGTGGCAAGAAGTGTGGCTGTGCACATGGTGCATGTGAGTACCTGGGCATGTCTGGACGGCAGAGCACATGTGAAGGCACTGATGCTGACAGGGCACACCTGAGTAGAGGGCTGTGGGGGCTGCTGTGAATGAACGTGGGTGGTGATGTCCTTGCCCTGGGTCTCTGGGCTGAGGGACTTGCTTATTAGCCTACTCCCTGGACACAGAGCTGGGGAAGTCCTCTCTGACTCTTACCCCCTGCTCATCTGACCTTACTATGCCTCTCCTTATCTCTCTGGCCAGGTCATCAATAACTACTTGGATGCCAGCGAGGCTGTGTCCTCAGAGGCCCCCCTGAGCCGCATGCACTTCCACGACAACCAAAGGAAGGTTGACTACGTGCTCGCCTACCACTACCGAAAGCGTGGGTCACACCTGGGCCACGGCTCCCCTGGTCACTCACTGGCTGTCATCTCCAATGGGGAGACAGGCAAGGAGCGCCATGCTGGGGGACCCAGTGACATTGAGCTGGGCCCACTTGATGCTCTGGAGGAGGAGAGGAGGGAGCAACGAGAGGAGTTTGAGAATAACCTGGTGGCAGCTGGCCTGGAACTGGAAAAGGACTTGGAGGTAAGGCCAGTGGCAAGGGTCTCAGGACAAGATGGGCCCCTGGTGGCCCGTGCCATCTTGCAGGAGTTTTGGCTTTGTTCTGGCAAGTGGCACTTCTTTCTTTTGCCTGGAAAACCAGATTTTCTTGCCCAGGATGTTGAGGGAGAGTCTTAGTATTGTTGGTGCTCTGTTTAGGTGGGCAGTGCTGGGTGGCAGTGGGATGGCCATGGTGTGCCAGCCTGCTCCCTGGTGTTTGTCGAAGAGGGTGTCAGCAAGACATTACTTCCTGAATCTCTGCATAGTGATTTCCTTGTGATGACAACCTACTTTACCTGATTTGTTTCTAAATTCTTCTCCATGGATATAGGGATATTCTCCTAAGGAATGCACTTGCTAGAGGCCCCTTAAAGGACTGGCAGGAGACCTTTTGAGGAGCTAAGCGGGGGCATACACTAGAAATAGTTTATAACTTGTAAGCTAGTGTAGTCTCACCTTTAGTTAGCAGACAACCCAGGGAATCTATGGGGATTCTTTCTTCCACACATCTGTCTATCCATCCATCCCTGCACCACACAGATCCTTTAAAAATGACCCATCCTGGCCAGGGATTTAGCTCAGCGGCATAAGCACTTGTCTTGCAAGCATGTGGTCATGAGTTCGATCCCTGGCTACAACAACAACAACAACAACAACAACAACAACAATAACAACAACACACCCATCCTTACATTTTCTCCAAGTCTATTTCCCTGCCTTTCCATAGTCTTATTCTAGCCCGCCAGCCTTCTCTGCTGGGGACCAATCACCCTCATCTTTGTGATGTAGTCTCTGCCCAGGTCCTCTTCCCCAGACCTGTGTGTTCGTTTTCTCTCTTCAGGTCTCACTACCACCTTACCTTCTTCTAGATACCTTCCCTGACCATCTATCTCACTAAAGCATCCTCTCTGTCATTCTCAGGGCCTCAACCCTGTTTACTTTTCTTTCTTTCTTTTCTTTTGTAAAGGAAGCTCAGCTTCCTAAAGCAATGTGATTGATTTATTTGTATTTTAATCTGTGTCCTTCTAGCTCTATGAAGGTGACATTCTTGTGTTTCAGTCTTTTAGGGCAGAGTCTGGTACATAGCAGGTCCTTCCTAAGCATCAGTTGAGTGACTTTCATGGCCCCCCTGAATGTCATACCCCATATCTTTACATTAATAGATTCCTTACTGCAGTGTGGTTTTAAGGGTCCCACCATTAGATGCACAAAGAAAGTGTACAGCACAATGTCTGGGATGTAGCAAGTGATCAATAAATACTCATCGTGATTTTAAAATACTCATGTTGAAGGGTATAGAGTTTTTATTGATATCTATTGTAAGATTCTCACTAACATACTGAAAGGGCCCTGATGTTACCTGTCCCTTCTTTTGGCTCTGGGTGGAATGTCATGTGTTTTGACTTGAATGCCTGTGTTGCTCATCCAGGTAAGGCAGGGTTAGTCTTCCCACCCAAAAGGTGAGTGTCTTTCTTGAAGGCTGTTTTGGGGTCCTTTGGTGTAATGCTGGTTCTCACTTTCTGGAGTCCAAAACTCACTTGGGGGCCTCCATTTGGAGTCTGCTCTGAAGCTCTTTCTGAGGCAGTGACACATTGAAAGTCATGCAAGGAGCTTTTGGGACTTACTATTGTGGAAGTCACTGTTTGCATACTTGTCCCCGGGTCTCCAGAACTTTGAACTTTGCTCAGGGTTCAAATAGGAAACACAGGGGCAGATGCAGAAGGCTGACTGGAGTGTTCACATCCCGAGCCTGGGTTCTACAGCCTCAGGACCTTGGGTAGGTTCCTGGATGGGTCTGAGTCGAAGTTTCCCTGTCTTTGGAAGGGAAATAATATATTCTTGACATTGGGTTGTTAGGAGGCTTAAACAAGACAACTAAGCATTTAGAACAGAATAAGAGCTTCTACGCTTATCATTATTATTTAGAGTTGTTAGGCAATAAAAATGCAGGATGCCTAGTTAAATTTGAGTTTTAGATCAACAGTGAATAAATTTTTAGCCATAACATGCTCCATGAAATATTGTGGTCAAGTTATATTAAAAATTGTTTGCTGCTGGGGATATTGCTCATTGGTGTGAGTGCCTGCCTCACAAAAGCAAGGACCTGAGTTTGGTTCCCAATACCAGAATAAAAGAAAAGGAAGGAAGAAAAAATTGTTTGCTTTTGATCTGAAAGTCAAGTATAATTGTCCTGGCCCCTTTTATCCACTATTCCCAGGGACTCTTCCATCTTTGTAGCCCATCTTCGGGTGCTCTTGAATGTTCCCGGCCTTGGCTGGGAATCAGAAGGGCACAGGAATACGTCTGCTCTTGGAACTGCTGGCATTCGACAGGGGTGTGGGCTGCATCTCGGGTTATCGTTACTGCTGCGTGGTCGCCTGCTCCCAGCCCCCACCTGGGTTCAAGGCCCCTTTGGTGCTTCCCCATCATGAGGACTCCAGGTTGCCCCCCCTCTGCCCTCATAGTCTCCCCTACCATGGGGCCATTTTGACTGCCATCTTGCAGGACCCACCCTCTCTTTTCTGAAAAGTGATTACTATGATTTGTTACCTTTCATGTAAAGAGTTAACTGCTCTTCCTGACCACGGCACATGTTATTTTGGTAAATATTCCCCTTCCTCTCAGCTGCCTACTCCCTCCGCAGGCAATCATTCTAGTACATCGTGGCTCTGGAAAATATATAGTGTTCTTTTTGCTCTATGCAATTTTGCTTTTTTATTTTAAAAATAGACATTTTATTGTTTAGAGCAGCTTTATATTTGCAGAAAAATTGGGACTAGTACAGAGTGTTCCCATATACCTGCCCCATACCCAGTTCCCATGGTCCTAAGATCTTAATTGGTATGGTACATTTGTTACAATTAATGAACCTTTATCTTTGCTGCCCTTTATTCCTGGATCCCAGCCAGGACACCATATTACATCTAGCTGTCCTGTGTCTCCTTAGGCACTTCTTGCTGGTGACAGCTTCTCAGAACTGTATGCGTTTTAAATTTACATAAAGGCACTCTATTTTATAGTTCTTTGTGTTTCTGGCTTTTTTTCTTCTTAGCACTATAATTTTCAGACCATTTATGTTCTGTACGTACATGGCACCTGCTATTTCTAAAGGGGCAGCTGTGCTGCAGCGCCCACGGTTTACCTAGCCATTCCTCCAACAGGAAGGGACACTCAGGTTATTTCCCACTATGTGTCACCCAAACAAGGTTAAGGATGAATTGTCGTTTTGTTCAGGGTCAGCAATTGGCAATCATCTTGGCCTCCATCATGTTGGTCTCCCTTCCGTCTCCTCTGCCATGTTGGCATTTGGGACATTCCCCAGCTGCAGCCTGTGAGGCTTTGAGTACCTCCTGTCCATGTTGAAGTGCTGGACCCTGGCTTTGAGCAGCATCCTGGGGTGGGTGTCTCACTGGAGGGGACCTCACCTCCCTGCCCCAGGGGCAGTGTGGAGAGCAGGTGCAGTGATCCCACCTGCTCAGCCTTTCCCACCTGCTCACAGGCAGCTCCTGCCTTCTGGGCTGAGCTGATTTTTAGACTCTGATTTTACTTTGACTTTAAGACAAACAGGGAGGAAATGGGTTCCTAATGGACCCATTAAACATTATTCACTTAGCCTTGCTGATCAGAAGAGCTTTGTTGCCACCAAATTCTAAGTAAAATATCATAGAGCTCATATTTGACCCTATTTGATATCTGCATGTGCTTTGGGCAGCATGATAACTGATATATTCCATCTGGTGTTTCATTTTTTTGTTTTGCATGCATATTTCCATGTATGGCATTGTCTCTGGTCATATTCTAAAGACAGATCAGCATTTCATCAGAGAACTGCACTACAGTTTACCTGTGTGTTTTCTTACGTTTGGCCACTTAATTAGAAAGTCACTTAGAGATTCCCCTGGAGATGCATATGGATGGAAAAGACATTTAATGCTCTCACTGCCAATTCTTCAAATTGAGGGCCAGGCTTGAACAGGTTTGCTGTAGCTCTGACGAGGCTGTAGAGTGGTGAGCCGCACATGGCCTCTCACAACAGCCCTAGGAGGGCTGGCATGCCCCCTTATTCCTATTCTCCCAAACCTGCAGTTTTCATCTAGAGGGTCAGAAGAGCATAGGCAGAAATTTAGATGCATAGATATCACCAAAGACATCTGTAGGAGGGAGGTTGCAGAGCCAGGGGCCACACAGCACAGGCAGGCAGATGGAGGGCATGTTTGAATCCTTTGAAGCAAGACCATCTCCTCTGAAGGCCCTGAAATTCCAGCAGGCAAGGCCCACAATTTCATCTGTGTGGAGTGTCAGACCTTCGAAACTAGAAATGGAGGAGGGAACATTGACAGGGAGGCCAGTTGCCCCCTGCTTGAGGTTAACACTCCTGGGGTTAGGGTCAGGAGATAGTGGAGTCCAACTTTTCTCAGCACAGTCTGGCCCCTCAGCAGGCTCTGTTCTCAGAAGAGCCGGATAGAGAAGGCGGTATGCAGGGGTAGGCCCCAGAAGTCACTGCTCTGTCCAGGAGGCGGCGCTGTCCTCTCACTTGGAGTCAGGTGGGAACGCAGGGGTGATCCTTCCTTCTCCCCAGAAAGCAGTCCCCTTTCCCTTTCCCTGTTCTGACACCTGACTCCTGACCCTGTAGCCTGGCAGAGCCTGAGCACCTAAAGTCTCAGCCCAAGTACAACTCTGTGTTGAAGGCATAGGGGGCACTTGGAGCATGTGACATCACGACCTCCCAGTATGGCCCATTGAAGGTCTGAAAATCATGTGTCCCCATTTCATAAAGCCTGTGCTCACTGCATCTTGACCTCATCATCCCCTTTCGCACCTCCCTCTTTTCAGGAATCCCTGATTGGACTCTCTGTCCTCCAGGGCCTCTGGAAGGAGCTGAGGGTGGCTTTGGGAAATTCCTGTCTCTAGAGTTAACAGTTCAATCTCATAGGCTAGTATATTAATCTTACAGAAGTAATCTGAGGACCTAAGTAAGGAAACTA